TAATACAATACAATAAAATAATAACATGAGAATGAACTGTGTTTCACATACTCACAACTGTAAATCTATTTTGCCCCACCCTATATATTTCATTATGTATACTATACTAGAGGCCCAGTGCATGAAATTCATGCACTGGGGGGGGGGGTCCCTCAGCCTGGCCTGTGCCCTCTAGCAGTCCGGGAGCCCTCGGGAGATGTCCAACAGTCAGACATCCTTAGAGCTGCTGCAGAGGCGGGAGAGGCTCCCACTACTGCTGCTGCACTCACCAGCCATGAGCCTGGCTTCTGGCTGAGTAGTGGTCCCCTTGTGGGAGCACACTGACCACCAAGAGGCAGCTCCTGTGTTGAGCGTCTGCCCCCTGGTGTTCAGTGCACATCATAGTGACCATTCAGTTGATTTGCATATTAGCCTTTTATTATACAGGATTTTTGCATGTATATTAATGCATATGGTACAATAGAATGAATTTGGTTATATTTAAGAAAGAAATTCAGGAAGACAATAAGATTTATATGTGGTCATATGTTACTAATGCTTAAAAATAGCTATATGTGCAAGCTTCATTCTACAATTAATAAATGTGCATTATTAAAAAACAGAAGCTTAAATATTCATTTTTAAATGACATCATGGTGTTCTGAAACTATGGAAAGAGCTCATTTATCTTGCCAGTTCACAGAGATGAGATCATACTGGCCCTCATAGTCCACACTAAGGATTCTTTTCTTCATCTGAAGAGCACTGGGGAGCCAACCAAAGATTTTAAGCAGGGGAATCACTCTGGCTGCAGCATGGAATATGAGTAGCGTAGGGGTGGTGAGGGAAAGGCGGGGTGTAACATGGAAATGACTTCAATGTGAGATGCTGAGGTATTGGACAGTGTTCATGGTGAAGACAATAAGAAATGGAAAGATTTTAGGAATCTTCAGAAGGCAAAATCTATAGGATGTGATGATGAAGTATATATATATATATATATATATATTGAGAGCAGACAGGGGTACTTAGGGGGGATACTTAGGCTTTTGACTTGAACAACTGAAAGGATAATGGTGTCAGTCAATGAGAAAGAAAACCTTTGAATGAGAATAAAATTTATGGGAGAATATTATGGACTTAGTCTGGAAACTGAGTTTAACCACATTTGGAACTCCAAAGTGCAGATGTTGAAAGTTGATTGTGGGTCCTGGAGCTTGAGAGGAGAGATCTGAGCTGGAGATATAGACACTTAGAAGTCATCAGTATACCTGGGCAAGTATACCTTTATAGGATGAATGGTCTTGGGCCAATCACTTCTCTGCTCTGAGCTTCAGTTTTGTTTTGTTTTTAATCTGCAAATTAAGAAGCTAAGATTGTTTATTCTTCCTGACAAAATTGTTTTGAGGATTAAAATAAATAGTATGTGAAGTTGCTTGTGAATTTTAAGGTGCCATAGAAGTGTTCATTGTGGTGGTGCTGATGACAGGGATGAGGGAAGGAGCAGAGGGGGCAAACTAGGGGTGGGAACAGTTAGCATGAACTACATAAATTTTTCCCCAGGACTGTTTCTTTTGCACTTAAATGAACACTGTGTTTTTTCTTGCCTAGAACAAAGTCATTGATTTTATGTGTTCTGTAATCTAAGCCTGATTCAAAACTGGGAAACCGGTATTCTTTAAATTTAAGCCATAATAAATCAATCCTTTGTGAAGAGGAAGGTATGATAATCATTAAAACATGTTGAAGAACGTCATCAAGTTGTTAACCGTGCGGAGGAGATGCTATTCCTTGAAGGCTTTATTCCATCTTTGCTGTAGGCTGTCTCTAGCTACACACTTTGGGCAGTTTGTTTACAGGGTTATGATTTCAGTTCCCTCATCCAGCAATTGGTCAGTTTGTTGTTCCAAGGGAATTTGAGATTTCACCAACCCTG